ACTTGTATTTATTTTTCAATGTCTGTGTGCAGCTTTGGGGAGTTTGTTTGCCCCAATAAGGCTCTGAACAAAGATGATTTCTATCAAGGTTATTGGAAAGAGGGGAAAATGCATGGCCTCGGGACATACCGGTAGGTCTCACTAAAACTAAAATGTTTTCTGTTACAGGAGAACTGTAAATACAGATACAGTTTTTTTTTTTTATTATTATTACTTCCACCATGCACATTTTCGTTCTGGTCCACATGGGGGCAGCAGATCTCCGATTTACAAATACAGATTTCCAAGATTTTGGATTCTTTTTTCTAATGTAGGGTTAATTTTACATCAATGACCTGCAAATATTTTTAAAAACAAGAAACAAAACCTTGTGAAAATTTTCTTAAATCCAAACTTGGGCAAAACAGTGCAAATATATACATGTTTTTGTTTTATTTTTTACATAGTGGTGAGGGGAGTGGTTTCTTAGTGGTTAGAGCATTGTGCTTATATATCAGAGGTTCTGAGTTCAACACACTCCCACAAACTTCTACTCTGGGACCCTGAGCAAGGCCCCTAAACCCGGGCGCCGCTAACTGCTCCCAAAAAGGTTAAATGCAGAGTTCATTTCATTGCTCTGTACTTTTTGTGTTGTGATGATAATAAGTTGTTGAAAAAAACATAGCTTCTATAAGCTGAAATTAGTGCCATCAGAAAGAAAATTTGCAGAGGCAAAATTCATAGTGAAATGTATTGTTGGTACATTTCACTAAACTGAAACGGAATAAATACTTCAGAAAAAATATACGGTAATTACCAAAGACCATGATTTACGATAAAGAGAAGTCCTGACAAGGAAATAAAAATTTAATTCCCCTGTTTCCAAATGTCTGTCTTGTTTTATCTAGACCATTGCAAAGAATCCGTTTTTTTATGGAGTTAAATTGAGGCCAAAACATTTATTTGAAGAAAAAAAAAAAGTTTTGTTTTTTTTTCAAACAAAGTTTCCTTTTTTTAAAAAAAAAAAAAAAAAAAAAGCTTTTGATTAGTTTTTTTGTTTTGTTTGTTTTGCTTTTTAACAAGTAAATGTTTTACACTTTTGTTCAGATTTAAAGGTTTTTCTTTTTCTATTTCAATTCTCTTTTTTCAGGTTTAATTTAACTCCATACTTCTTAAGGTTCTCGGAATCTGTTTCAAAATGGTTCCATAAAAATATTATTCCGTCTTCATTAAACCAAAAATCCGCCATCTTGGATCTGTGGCGAAATCTATGGGGGAATAAAAGACCAGCTGCTTCGTTTGTGTTCTGTCTAAGAGATGAAAACTCCTCTGTCTTGATGAAGGTACGCAAGCGGTGAAGTTTACGACGGTTCCTTCCAGGATGGCGTGCGGCAAGGCCATGGGATGCTGCGCAGCGGAAAGCACAACACCTCATCCCCCAGCGTCTTCATTGGACAGTGGCTCCAGGACAAGAAGACGGGCTATGGAGTCTTCGACGATATCACAAAGTATGCCCTGAACTTCTCAGACAGTATTTTGCCGACATATTCTGTCTTACAAGTTCCCCCTGTTTTCTGTGCAGAGGGGAGAAGTACATGGGAATGTGGCAGGACCACCAACGGCAGGGCATGGGGGTTGTTGTCACCCAGTTTGGTCTGTACTATGAAGGAGCCTTCAAAGACAACAAGATGACGGTGAGTTTTCTAACAAACTCGCTAAGATGGATAGAAATGTTTAAGTAGAATCAAATCTGACTTTTAGGGTACTGGAATCCTTCTGTCTGAGGACGACACGACCTACGAGGGGGAGTTTTCTGATGAATGGACCCTCAGCGGAAAGGTGCTCTAAATGCAAACTGATCTAACAGAACCGTTTTGCTTGATTACAAGATTTCTCTGTATAATTTCAGGGCGTTCTCACCATGCCTAACGGTGACTACCTGGAGGGCTCCTTTAGTGGCGAGTGGGGGTCTGGTCTTAAAGTGACAGGCTCCTATTTCAAACCAAACCTGTTCGAAGCTGAAAAGGACAAGAACCGCGCCGTGTAAAGCTCCTCTCTTTAGCAAAGCCTCTGGATTAAACGCCTCGCTCCGGTTTACTTTTATTTGATTCTCTTAATGCAGAAAGCTCGGCCGTCTGAGCGTGAGAGCGGAGGAAAAGTGGCAGGCGGTGTTCGAGGAGTGCTGGAGTCAGCTGGGCTGCGAAGCAGCAGGGCATGGGGAGCACTGGAAGGCCTGGGAAAACATCGCTGTGGCCCTGACCGCCAACAGGCAGCAGATACATGACAGGTTAGCAAAAAATTAAAGTTTAACCTCGTTACACCGCTTAGAAACGACCATTATTCCTGCGGCTTGTTTCCTCAGCCCAGATACTTTGTCTCGGAGTCACAGTAAAACCCTGGAGTCTCTGGAGGTGATCCCCCAACATGATGGACCGATCACAATGGAGAGATATCACAGCATCCGACTCTATCTGATCAAGGTGCGTTCAAGAGTCGGTATGAATTAATTCACCTTCCTTTGGCTTAAAATGAAGAGCTAAATAGTTATTTGAACAATAGAAATATGACCTAGCTTTATCAAAAGTATCAACACTTTTGACAACCCTGTTTGGTTGTGTGGTTTTTCTTTATAAAGCTGCATGTTTTCGTTTTAACAGGCATGTGACACCCCCCTCCACCCTCTGGGCCGGCTGGTTGAGACCCTGGTGGCGGTCTACAGGATGACCTACGTTGGCGTTGGAGCAAACCGTCGGCTGCTGCCTCAGGCAGTCAACGAGATCAAGTCTTACCTCTGTCGCATCTTCCAGATCGTCCGGTGCGGATAGGAAAATTTAAAAAAAAAAATAACAAAGAGGCTTCTGTTTAAATTTCCTTTTCTGTCTCTAAAGGTTTCTCTTCCCCGACCTGCCAGAAGAGGGCGGTCTAATACCAGAGCCTACAGAAGGTCCTGCGGGCAGTAAGCAGGATGCCGCAGACGCCCGAGCAGAATCACCCAAACCAGGGTATGAGTCACGCCACCGCCTGCTGCTGCTCGCAATCCCCACAGATCAGGATGTTTTGTATTTATTTTTTGGGGTTTCAGCCGCGTGGTGAGCAGTTCGGCTCTGCTGCTCCCCGTCCTCCTGCCTCGCCTCTACCCTCCGCTCTTCACCCTCTACGCTCTGGAAAAGGAGAAGGAGGACGACATGTACTGGGAGTGCGTCCTGCGCCTCAACAAGCAGCCCGACCTCGCCCTGCTCGCCTTCCTGGGGGTCCAACAGTAAAGCTGCTCTGTTCCTGAACGAAAACAACCATCGGTGTAAAACCGGGTCTTTCTTTTTCATTTCTTTTTCTTATCCTGTTGCAGAAAATTTTGGCCCGTTTCCATCCCTAACGCTCCACCAACTCCGGGCGAGAGGCAGCCGGTAAATATTTCCCGCCGTAGCTGATAGACGTACGGTCTCCTTCTAAATGACTTTGTGCTTTCAGGTCATCCCGACCACGAAGGACGCCTGCTTCGCCTCGGCGGTGGAAACTCTGCAGCAGATCAGGTCCCGCCCTCCTCTACATTTATGATATATTTAATAGGTGCCATATTTTCTCTACTATAAGTCGCTACTTTTTTTCCCACGCCTTGAACCCTGCGGCTTATAGGAAGGTGCAGCTTTTTTGTAGATTTTTCCAGTTGGAAATAAAAGAAGGAGGGGCTAATTTTCATTTAGCACATGCTAGCAGCCAGAACTACGGAAAACAAATTTATTTGCTGCATTAAAGCTGTCGAACCAGTGAAGAGACTGTGGGCAACCCCTGCACAGCTAAAATAAAGATTGACAAAGCCCCATCTTTCATTAGAAGCTCTTACTGCTGCGAGACAACAAGCTAACGAGAGCTAGCATTCTTGTTTGTCCCTACTCTAGGGTAGAGAGCTCCCCCTACAGGTGTGTTGGGGGACAGTTCAATAGATATCAGCGGGTTATAGCCTGGTGCGGATTATATTGAGGGGCTCCCTATAGTCCAGAAAATACGGTACAGTTAAAATGAAGCTTTCTGTTTCTCACGATTTTTTGCAGCACGACTTTCACTCCGTCGGATAAGCTGCAGGTTATCCAGCTCACTTTCGAGGAGATTACCCAGGAGGTGCAGTCGCTGCTGAAGCAGGACTTCCTGTGGTCCATGGACGACCTCTTCCCCGTCTTCCTCTACGTTGTGCTGCGCGCCCGGTAAGCCGACGCTTAATCCAACCCAGTGGCAACATCTGGAACCCGTTTAATCATCTGTGATCTTCCTCTTTAGAATCCGCAACCTCGGTTCAGAGGTGAGCCTCATCGAAGACCTAATGGACCCTTGCGTTCAGCACGGAGAGCATGGGATCATGTTCACCACCTTGAAGGTAACAGAAAATCACACTCATCCGATTTAATGTTTTTCTTTTCTTTTTTCATGTTTTTTTTTCTCCTAATTTTCCAACTGCAGGCCTGCTACTACCAGATCCAACACGAGAAGATTTCATAGAACGATTCCTGCGTTTTTCCCCTCTTCCTCCTTCACCGGTTCAGCCGATGACGGGAAGTTGGTAAAACTCAAGTCTGCTTGCTCAGGAAGTAGAGAGTTTGATCATCACCAGTCTTGACTTTTTTCCGTTCTGATCAGGAAGATGGAAACATAAACAACGAGCTGCTTTCTCCTCTTCCTGATCCAGCTGGAAGTATTACTGAGTTTTCTAGCGCGTTGACGGAAATAAGAAGCAAGACGACGAGAGCAGAGTAAAAGATTTAAAAGCTACAGTCGTATTTTAAAAAAACAAAACAAACTGAAGTATTTTCATTACGGTTTACATTTAGTGTCATCATGTACTTCATCTGATGCAAAAACCAAACTGTAATGCCCTCTGGTGGAAGGTTTATACGGAAACGAGGACAGTCCGGGACTTAAATTATCCTGCAGAAGAGCTCTTTTAATAATAGAAGGATTAATATATGCAAAAATAAAAGATTTATTAAATAAGGATCTAGAAACAAAAAAAAATCCTAATTTAAACTGCTTTGACTGTGACTCTAAAGCTGAATAAATGCTTGGTTTTGGTCTAATGGAGGACTTCTATACCTCAGGCAGAAACTTGGACTGGAAGCATAATGTGAAACGGTAAAATGGGGTTTCTTGTGTTTTTGTTTTGTATTTTTTTTCTAGACAATCTCAGCCTAAATATCCCAGATAGACTTAAAAAAAAATGTCAAAATGAAATGGCACAGACTTTAAATTAAAATTGAAACTTTTTAATCTGTATTACTAGTGGATATGAAATATGAATTTATGAGGTTGGTAATTCCTAAAGGTTAAAAAAAAAAAGTAAAATCTATCATCTGTTGACGTCATAGAGGCAGTGGGATCAGTGCTGCAGATGTGGATCAGATCTCTGCTCCATCTGTTCATACTGACCTTTTTCTTGTTGATGCTTTGAGTCAATTGTGCCAGTTTCCAATACAGTCTTAAGAACTGATTTTGTGCTAAAAGACAACAGCCGGCGGTAAGGAGAGTGGAAAATCTACAAGAGGTCTGCAAAAACCTTTGGGAGACTCATGTCATTCCAACATTTGTGTCCAGATTGATTTACTCGAAGTGAAGCTGCGCATGACAACTGACTGTAAATTTGTGCTTTTGTTTGTAAAGATGAATTTTAGTCTTTTCCTTTCCCTGTTGACTTCATCTGTTGTTTTTTTGTTTTTTGCCTTTTTTTTTAAATGCCATCAAATGTGGTAAAATTTTAAACAAGTGGCAATAAATATAATTTACTGGCTAAATCAGAGCGATCGAGTGGATTTACAGCAAAAGAAAGCTTTTCTACAAAAAAATCCTAAAAGAGAATATCGGACAATTTGTTCTTCAATCCAAATCGGCTTGATTTGGCAAATATGCTGACACAGCAATAAAGATGGGAAATGTATAACTTCTATAAACAAAATGGGTAGATTAAAACCTTGTAGCAGTTGGGCCATGGGAAAAGTTCAAAGGATGCAGAAGTAAATTATTAGATATTAAATAGATGTGTAGTAACCAGGAAACAGATGCTTATTATATGAAGCTCCTGGGTTATTGCATTGGGGTTGTTGACACAGAGTAGTCATCCTCATGGATTATTGACAAAATCAAACTTTCTTAATCATTGGTTTTCTTTGGAAAAGTATTCAGTTCCAGATGTCTTGCATTTAAAAAAAAAGAGCATATGTATTGAAAAATTGTGAAACACCAGTGCCTCACCAGTAGGTGGGGATAATTTTCATATTAGATCTTTATACGTATATAAAAATAAATGGATTAATAAAAAAATATATATATATGTGTAAATAAAGCCCAGAGAAAATATGGTCCACCTTGTAAATGACCCAGACCACCCTACTGGCCTGCCCAAATACGGTTAGTTGTTGATTTACAGATTAAAGCTGATTTGTCCATAATGTAGGGCAATGTTGGTGTCACTTAGTCATATTATGTCCCCCCCCCAGGTGTCATATGAGTGGCTCAGGAATTTTTATTTTTAAGAAAATGAACTTATCTGCGACCCATTTAGATGTTGGAAATTTAGCAACTTCTTCTCTACTCTACGAGCCTCTACTTTAAAAGGGGTCATAACCTGGTATTTTACATATGCAATCATTTTTGAAATTCTCTTTCAATTCATTAATAATGTTAGGAGGAAAAAAAGTTTGCCATAGTTCATTTACTATTACCGCCTGGTCTGTTAGGTGATAGTTAAAAAGTAACACGCGCA